ATTTCTTTTTAAGTAAAAAAGGTAGGTTGTAGAACAGCATATATACTATACAGGACCCCGTTTTTTTCTTAGCAAAACAAAATGCAAGTGTTAACTCTGACGGTTTGATGATAAAAGACTGTGGTTTCCTGGGTTTCTTATTTCTGTATCCAGAATTTTTCCAATAAGCTTTTTTCCAATGAACTATTATTTTTATAGTAGGAAAAAATATATTTATGTATATACTTAGCAAAAATTTGAAAAATGGTAGAGATGAACCAAAATTGTGAATTTATTGAATTTGAATCAAGAAGTTCTCATCACAGTTACTTAATTCTAAATTTACTCGAGTTTTACCTAGGGCTGAGCCTCTCTCTAAAGTAGTTTGCTTCCCAAAGACCAGAAATGCAATAAATACATCAATAAAACAGGATAAAAACTACACTGGGGAAAGGGTGGCCTAATTACAACACTCTTTATGCTCACTGACAACACAAGCTTGGCAAAGCACAACATGGGAAATTATCCACTAATATCCATTTGAGGGAACTGGTTAGAAGAAATCAGTTATAAGCATTTTTTAAAACAGTTCCGGGTATAACAATGACATCTAGTGGATTGTTATATCTCCAAATTCATCTAAGCATCAATATAACCTACCGAAAACCTTCAATTTTTCCTGAATAATTCCATTTCAGTAATAAATAATCATGTCAAATTACACAAAGGCAATCTTAACAACCGTACGAAGTGGCAAGTGGTGGTGGTGGGGGGAGATACCAAACTCTCATGAGCTTCTTGTCATCAATTCGAGATAAAGTAGCAATGTGTAGCTGGATAACACAAGGTCAACTACAGACACTTTCATCACTGTTTAATGTACTATATGAGGTTAATGCCTAGCAAAAAGAAGACTAGGAAAAAGCCCCATTTTAAAAATCTCCTTTCAATAGAAAACAAAAATTTAAATGTAAACACAACATAAAAATATTTGTCTATGACAATTATAAAGACAGCACACACTCTTGGGAACTAAATTTAAAACTGTGAAGATATTTTTTAAGCCTTCAAAGGGCAAATACCAGATCTATTTAATAAATCCTAAACAGAGCTAAGCATATTTTAAAATAGTTACCCCAAGACAAAAAAATACCTTTTTAGGAACTGCTCGTATTTCAAGACACCAGGTAAGAACGAATTGGAGAGAACATCCCTCAGGTATATGTTGCGGTAAGGAAGCTCCTTTTCAGGTAAAGACAGGAAAGAGGTTCATGACACAGAAAATAAAGAGTAAAATGCTTTGCATTTCCCAAAACACAATTACTGCAATACTTTACATTACAGTACTATCAAACTGCAAAATGATTTGTGGCACTATTGATTTCCCCCAAAAAATTTCCCCCAAATGAATATAGTAGAAAACTCCACCTTACAAAAATTAAAGAATGCAAATTCAAGGTAGGCCAAACGAAAGGAAAATTATCTAAAATTAAGAACAAAAAGCAAAAACGATGGCAGTACTCCACTGGCCCCAGACACCCTAACAAGTCACAGCATCAGGGCTGTACCTTTCTTCTTTGTGTCTGCCTTAATTTTCAAGAGGACACAGCACTCTCTTTTATCGGCAAGCTGCAGTCTTTCGAGTAGATTTTGTACCTCAGAATCACTGTTAGGACAGATAACACTGAAGGCATCTCCAGGCTGATAGGAAAAATCTGTTTTCTAGAAAAGCACCAGAATGAAAGAAAAAAAAAACTATGAGTTAAAGAGTTTCAGTTGTAGGATAAGAAAAAATAGTTTTCATTATATGACCATTTTAACATATGAACTCAGAAAGAAAATAACTCCAATTGCAAAAAGCTAACAAATAAGTCTAACTAACCAAATGAACATACTTTTATTAACAGCTACTTTAAAAAAGAAATTTGGTATTATCCAGGGTTTTGCCTTTTATCACTGTGTATTTAGTTTTGGAAATCAGACCTTTCTCATTTTCTACAGAGTAAGGTACCATAGTGTTTTTAATAATCTATGTAAAAAACCCTCTTTTATAAAACATACATGTGCATGCACATAAACACAGGAAAACATACATTATAGCCCAAGGAAACTAATTAAGATCATCTGCATTGGTTTTCAGTTTCATTTTTCTTACTTTACTCTTTTCCTTTCAGGAGAAATAGAGGTAGGAAAGGATACTTCATTATTTCCTTAATGAGTATAAAACATTACACTATCTGGATGAATACTGGTTGTGAGCAACATGGGCTGGAAAAGAAGCCAATCCCCACATCAAGTCTGGTCACTTGGCCCATTGCCTCCAAGGCCCCAGAGCAACAGAGCATACAGAATAGGGTTCTAGAAAGGGGCCTCTTGCCATGACACAACCTCACATTTCTTGCCTGAAAGGGAGACAGACTTGACTCAGCATTGGCTAACCCTTGCCTCTTCACGACAAAATTGTAGGATATCAGAATAACAAATATTTTGGTGTACACAGTATCAATACTTATGAAAGTAAAAGCATCTAGTGTTTATACTTCTTGTATTTCTCTTTTCTATTAGGAAGTTCAATTAAATCTACATACAGCCTTCATGTGTCCTCACTTTTCTGAAAGTACAACACACAACTTCTTGCGACCTTCATCAAAATAAAGGGTTGAGGTAATTGACATTGAAGAGGCACTCAAGCACTAGTTTTAGGTTATCAATCAGTTT